CACGATTGCATCATAAAACGAAAACTGTTTATCTCGACACCTATAAATAACGCATACAGTATCTGGAAAAAGCATATATACACTTGCAACAATACAATTCTCCCATAATTTTCCATACATTTTCTGTTACACATAATTTACAAAAAAAAATTTACAAAACCTTAGCTTTTTAAATTAATATAAACAAAAATATATCACGAATTAAATACCTCGAATAATACCGCGAATATACTTTTTTCTTAATAACTCTATACATACTTTTTTCGGATACTGTACACCTTACACGTTACACAATCGTTACACAGGAATCAACAGATCGAAAGTCCACGCAATTCCGCTCGTAACGCCCACCACGTCCATTGACATTTCCATCCGTGTGTGTCCATTGACGCCAGGGTTGACGCGCGCGATGTCGCGCAATGATTTATCGAGCGTGTCCACGCATACCGATCGTCGTCTTAGAACTTCTCTAATTGCCTTTGTCACGGAGGAGGAACGTGCCGATCCCGCGTGACGATCCACTCGAAAGAACCGGCGATCGACTATTCTAATCGGCGCTCAACCTCTTATCCGCGCCGTTAAAATGCATGAGGATCAGGGAATTGGATTAAAGAACGATCGATAAAGATATATATATATATATAATTCTCGCGTTTTTTTATATTTTATTTTTCGTCACAACATCTTTTCCTCGTAACAGCAACAAAACCTTGATACGAAATTCATAATCAACGACGTGTTTGAAATATTATAATTATGCGCATTATATTATTCTGTACGATAATTTTAAAGAAGCGTTTTTCAAAGATTTCGATTCGCGGTGAAGGGAGGAATGTTTGAGCGGAGGCGTGGAATCGAGTCATGAATGAACACGTAACACGTTGTGGCGCATCGATCGATATGCATGTAAGTTGGATATATATGTATATATACGCGTTTGAATAAAGACTAAGGCGGAGGAGAAGAACGCTAAGGTCGATCGCTTAGTATGGATTTACCGCCTTACACGCGGTATTACGTATGCGCTGGGAGTTGAATGTTACGAGCGTTATGACTCGTGGCTGTCATAAGACGTTGTCCCATGCATGGCTTCCCCTTCGTATCGTTCCTCTCCTGCCTTTCACATCTCTCCTTCCATTTGTTCCTTCGTTCTCGAGTGTATCGAATATCATTTTAGAATCCGTATTTTTATTTTTATCTATTTGGTTTTTGGTTATTGATATTGTTCTTTGAATTCGAACAGTATATAGAATTTTCTGTGATATCTAGGTAGAGTTATACACGGTTTTTATCAATCATCTTCGTTTTTCGAATAAAAAATATTGGGATTTGGATTATATATTCGATACATCGTGATAAGTTTTCTTTTTATTAATAGAGATTTTTTTAGTTATTTATTACATCGATATCAATTTCATTTTTTCTTCTTCTAATCATTTTTTGATATTTATAATGATGAATTATATATCGCATGATATAATTTATAGATAAGTTATCGGAAGTGATAATGGATTAGAGAACTTTGGTTTTTCGGGGGGGGACTTTCATAGCGACGAAAGTGAAATTATAATACCTTCGTAGAAAGAAGATTGATCGTGGATTATCGTCTTCAGAAAATGCATATAAAAGTGGTTCAAACACACCATCTCGAGAATATCTTGAGATAAACTTGTTTCTATAAAATTGAATAACTGCGTTCGTTTAACAAAATTTCTTATGTAACTTTTATATAAGATTTTCAAATATTACATTAACTATTAACGATATTATACGTAAAACCTCGATGCAATTTCGTTTTTAAAACGTTGCTCATAAGTTTAACATTTTTTAAAAATAAATAACTTAAAATTTTAACCATCAAATAAATTTCCATATTCTTCACTTTCAAAATCCATAAAACCCCAAAGTTTTATCTATCAAAGAAAATTTGAGAAGAAAACTTTCCACAAATTTCCACATTCTCAAACTCCAATTATCAAAATCATAAAATCCTATCGAACACATATTATCAATATTTTCAAATTTGAACTAATTTTATGCAGCCTCCCAAAAATTCTCTAACCATAAACTTCGACAAACTTCATCAAATCACGATTCTTCCAAACTTCTTCCAATCACTCTTTTCCATTCAATTTAAATTATTTGCATAAACCTGGAAAGAAAGGGAGGCATAAAAAACGATCGTTTGGAAAATGGATGGGTTCCATCGATTTTTTTTTCATTGGAGAAGAGAAAAACATTTTATCGCAAATTTCGATGAAACGAGAGAGGGAGGGAGGGGAGAGAGGGTTGGAAACTTTGACATTTCGAGATCGATCAGAACAGTTCTGTTTGAATAACTCAAGCGCGAATGTTTACTCGCGAACCGTTGTCGCGTGATACGATTACGTGGATGTAACAAGCATTACGTGCTCGAAGGAATATATTACAAGATATATACGGCTTCCTTTGTTTTCTTATTCTCCTCTTTGTTGAATACGTATTTTTACGTGTTCCTCTGATCAGTCAGTTTGAGACGAGGAGGATTGCAATTTTTGTTAGAGAGATTTGGAATATGAAAAGAGAGAATATGAATGAATTTTTTATATTAGCGTGAAATGGAACAAGAGATCGTGATTGTTATCGCCTTATACTGATACTTGACGATACATTGATTATATCGTTATGATGAATGTAAGAAGCGAAGAAGAAGAAGGAGGTTAGTTGATGAGATAAAATCAGTTAAAGTTTTATCTCTTTTTTCCCTTAATATTTTTGATTATTGGTCAATAATTCTTTATTGACCAGTGTTTCTTTTAACGATTAATTTAATGATCTATTTAATCCTTTCGTTGGTTGTGTGATAAATTATACTGTCATTGTTAGTACAGTGACTTGAACTGTTCGTTTAAAATTAATCGAAATAAATTATTCTTCCAGATTACGGAAGATATACAACGAAATGACATCGTTAAGTTTCATAGTCAATCACAACTTGCACTTTGAATAATGTTAAGCCTCCGCTTGACTTGTTCGAGGCTTATAATTATATAAATCCTCTCGAGTATACTGTGTACGTATATATGCACGTGAAATAACGTCAGAAACTTCGCGCAACATTTGACATATTAATATTTGTCGTGTTAAAGAGAATGGAATGATAATGTAAATCAAAATTAAAAAAAAACGTGTAATGATGACGATGGAAAAAAGAATCGATCGAAAAATTATTAATATCAAATAGAATTACATATTACGAATCTTTTAGTATTATATCAAGGTAAATATCAAATTTTCTTCTATAAATTCATAAACATCCGCAATTTGATTGCTCACCGCGACCAAAATTATATCTTGTTAATTGAATTCATAGCTCGAACCATAATATTATTTCTTTGATGGGATATTCTGGGGAGGGGGGGCAGGATAGTTAAATATTGTATTATCGTGATATAATCAGAGAAAATGTTTTAGATCTGATTCACAGATTCAGAGAAAATAATATCTATTGTTCGAACGAGAAGTTGTTGATGAAAAGAGGAAGTCGATAATGAGTTTCCATTTTATTCGATTATAGCGGATAATTTTCGAACCATTTCGAGCGACGAAACGAAAATTTAATTAGAAGTTAATCCAAATTTTTCAAGCATATTTATGCTTTATAATCTGTATTATTTGTGTGTAATAATATTCATCGTATCGATACGATATGTAATATAATATAAATAAATTACTGTTTATCCAAATATTTTCATTGGAATTGCGATACGTAAATATCAAAATTTACATGCATAGTGTTTAATTTTAATAGAAATTGCGTTGTGATATTTAGAATAGTTTTTAAAATTAATTTTAATATCTACTACTAGGAAAGAAATAAAATTCGAATTTAATTTCGATTAAATTACAATGATATTGCACGTGATACACGATTACAACACACAATAATTTAAATTTGTATGAATTTTTCAAAATTTGTCAAAATTTAAATAGTTTAAATTGTTTAAACCAAAGAAAGTTACTTTTATCGAACAAAGTTTTCCAAATCTCTTTTTCGCGCGCTTATTTAAAATTTAAATCCCCCTATTTTTTGCGCATTTCGATTAACTATGCCATTTTTCTTTTTCAGAGCTGGAACTCGGTACACAATGCGTGGTCGAAATGTCCGGACAGCAAACCATCCTTCAGCATCCCACCACGATGGACAAGATCGAACGGTGAGTGAACTTTTGAATTTTTTTTTTTTTTCTCTCGAAAAGCCCTCGACGAGCTTTATTTTCTTTTTTCCCCCATCCCTTCCTTTTTAATCTCCCCAAGTCAAAGTTTCGCGATCCATTGGATCCTCGTCGTTCGGTTAAGTTTCAAGGCTCGAGACGATAAGATAGTAAGTGTCTCATGAAAGTCGAATGAGATACATTCCCAAGTTTTTATCTTTTAGCGAGGTGGAGAGGGATCCATCTTTTTATCTGTTTAAATTTTCTGTTACAATTTTTCATTAATTGAGGATTTAATAATTATATTATTAATAATATTAATAATTATATTATTATTATTATTATATAATATTAATATTATATAATATTATATTATTATTATTATATAATATTATTTATACTATTCTAATCTGATCTAAGATTTTGGGATTGATTTTTTAAACGTTTTTACAGCATGATACAATTATTCTGTAAAAGTGTAATAAAGTGGATGGAAAGAGGTTGGATTATGTATTTTGTTCAGAGAAGATCACCGAGATTATTAAGTTATTTTAAGGAACACAGAAAACAAACACGAGAACATTTGTTTGACAGATGGAGGATAGATATAATTTTCGCAACAAAAGTTATTCAATTTGTAACAACGATGGATAAGAATCCAGGTTTAAAATTTATCAGAAAATGATAATCCATTGCATCAATCAATTATCGTATCGTGCAGTGTACAATCTATTTTTAGATAGAAAATTGTTAATGTAAACTTTATAGAGACTCTAAACTAGAAACTCTTTTTTTTTTTTTTGTTTAAAGATTGATAAGTTGTTTTATCTGTGTACATTATAGATTGGAATTGTTTGTTCGTTCGAGGTAAAAAATATATTTTTAATGTTTATGTGCAAGAGAAATCTCGAATGAATGCACTGAAATTGAACAACTTTTCTTCGATATTTTCAATTTAAAAAAAAGATACGATTGTCATAAGAAAAGATAGAAGATAATTAAAAAGATATATTATAAATATTATAAACGTGGCTACAATTTTTATGACAATATTCAAGAATCGTATATAGCTTGAAATTATTAAAAAAATCCATAATAAAATAAACAAAATTATTTATTCGAATGAATAAAGAAGCTTTTATCCTTTTTACGAAAAAATCATAAATACGTGTTTCCTGCAATTTTATACAAGATACTTAATTTAAATTAGAAAAATAAAAATCCTGCATGGTGCTATTAGAATGCATTAGACGATATTATCGCATCGATAAAAAGGAAATGCAGCATACGCGCGTATCGCCGCCATTTGTCAGATAATTAAATCATGCAGTCTTATCAATGTAAATAGATAATATCGAACATCCACGGTACGCAAACATCGAGCAGGAAATCCATAAAAGAATTCCAAAACGAATTGCGTTTATCAGAAGAAGAGGTAAACCTGGTTTTTCATTTAACCCCTTAATAATGGTACACGTACGAAAAATGGCGATGTTGAGAAATTAATAATTAATTAATCAAACGAAAGAGAGATACGTATATTACATAAGAGCGAGGTAAAAACGTTGAAAACGCTATAATTAGCGACGAGACAAAAAAATTGAGGCGAGGATAGCCAATTCTCAATTCTCTTAAATCTTTTTCCTTTTAGAAAGAAGGAGACGTTGCAAGAGTTTTTTTTGATTACACGCCCCGAGGCGTGTCGTTTACGCGTGAAAAGATTCCTTTCCCTTTGAGAAGAGGCCGATCTATCAGAGAAAAAGGAACAATGAGTTCACGATCTAAACACAAGAGCGTGTATCC